TGGGAGAGGGAGACTCCTCCGGGCTGGGGGAGGGAGACTCCTTGGGAGAGGGGCTGGCAGCTGGACTCTCCGGGGTGGGAGCCTCTGCTGGTGAAGGGGAACCAAAAAGCTTGGCAAGGAGCTGCTCTTTCAACTTCTTGTGTTCTGTGGGCAGGTGAGAAATGGGGAGAGGAAAGTGAGTCGAGATTTCATTGCCAAATCCCTGCACCTCAGCATGTCGGTGGCGGCATCCCATCAAATCCCCAGCGCACCTGCGATGGCCTCCTTGGTCCAGCCACCGACGTCAGCGGCCAGGGCCTCTGCGGATGGGAAAGCGGGTAATGAAGGAGACATCGTCAATCCATCGCACCAGGGGTCGTGTAACGCGATGACGTGGGGTAAGATCGCTCTACACCCGCTTGTGAACCCACCATGAGCGCTGACGAGATCCTCGATCGATACGGACCCGTTGGCATTCGTCCCTGCGGCAACGGAAGCCCGGGAAGATGCGCGGTTAGTACCCTGCAGGTGCGGGGACCGGTTGGCAGGGCGCATAACCCATCCACACTCCCATCAACAGAAAGATCGGCATTGGGGGGACCCGCATTGCCCAACCAAGCTTGCAGTTGCGGAAGCCTCCAGACTCCGTACCTGCTGGCAGAACCAGGAGCAGGGCCAGGAGTGGGATAGCCAAGAATGCTTTCATTGCCACAAGTGCAGACGTGGATACAATGGTAGATCCGAAACCCTTAGATGTGACCAAGAGTGCGCAATGGGTCGAAATTGAAATGATGCTTGCGCATTGGCTGGACCTTTCCATTGCGCTGTCGATGCACGCTAGTGGACACGCGGCAATGTTCGATCTATCCAAGAACCGCGGCAACACAAACCTCTGACTAGTTTCTTGAGCCACATTGGATCTCCAAGTTTGACGTTGGGTGAGCAGATCGCCGTGGAATGCGCGCATGCGCTGAGACGTTGAGAGGTGCGACGCCAATCCCGTGCATGAAGTTCGCGTAGACCAATCATGTGCCCGTCACTGCCCGCGCCTTTGAGCGGGAAGCGTGCATCACCCAATTTACAGCTTTGATTCCGCTTGAGGGAGTGGGATCACACATGTGTCAGTGTGATCACCAGTTTATCAAGAATGGGAGGGGTCTGAAACAATTCACAGCGTGACAGGTTATGAGGAACGGAGTCCATCACACCTCAAAGCACCCACGATACGGCTGTACATCCAGCCATGAGCCGATGCTCAGGCCTTAGGGGGAGGGGGTGAAGGTGGGCAGCGTGAACTCTGGCAGGGGGGGCAGAGTGATGGCTGGCAGTGTGAACTCTGGAAGGGGGGGCAGAGTGACTGCAGGCAGCGTAATCTCGGGGACGGGGGGCAGAGTGACTGCAGGCAGCGTAATCTCGGGGACGGGGGGCGACTGTGACGGCGGGCAGCTTGATCTCAGGGATGGGGGGCAGAGTGACGGCGGGCAGCTTGATCTCAGGGATGGGGGGCAGAGTGACGGCGGGCAGCTTGATCTCGGGGACAGGGGGCAGGACGACAGACTTCACCTCCACCTCGGGCTTGGGGGGCAGGGTGACGGCGGGCAGCTCGACCTCGGGCTTGGGCTTGGGGGAGGGTGTGGCCGGCTTCAGATCAAACTTGGCAAACAGCTCGGATTCGAGGTCCTTCTTGCTGGGCACCTCGGGCTCCTCCTTGGGGACAGGGACCGGCCATACGTACTTTGGTACCTTGGCGGCTGCCAAATGACAAGGGGAGAGAACTGTCGGTTAATATCGGGTGAGCTAACCGGAGTCTCGACTGCCCCCCGACCATGATCATCCAGCCGTCATCTCCCCTTCCGCATCGATTCCCCAGCGCTCACGTGGGGTCTCGACCTTGGGCACCGGCGCCAGAACCTTCTCCCACGAGGAGAGGGCCTCATCGACCCATTCTGCACGCAAGAAGGGGGGCCATGGGTGGGGTTTGCACGGGTCGAGGGGTGGGCCGCCGCGGGGAAACGAAGTCACACACGACTGCGAGGGTTGCTCAAAACCCACTCACCCTTCTTGGTGCTCAGCAGGGAGTCGACCTCATCGGCGTGTACACCTGCAAATGTAATGAGATTCATTGAGTACTGGTAAGATCCTGACTTATCTGCGGGCCGCGTCTATGTTGTGCCAAGGGTCACCCACCCCGCACCTGCCCACAGGCTGATGGCAACCACCAGAACAAAGGCGCGCGCAGACACCATTTTAGGTTGGAATTCCTTGTTCACAACACGTCGATGAGTGGAAGATGGCTCCACTTCCATGAGATTCTCCCCTATCAGACGCCCCTCCCCGCAGCGGCTGATGCATGAGAGTGGGGTAGACCCAGGGGCCTGTTCGGCCAGCCCTTGGGCCGTCCGATTCGTGCAGTCGGTCTGGCTGCGCCGACACGTGACAGAAGCTGTGCTTGCACAGCATCCGGCATTCTGCACGGCATCCTCCCTCCTTCTTACAAGCGTTGCCACTGAGCTACAGTACCCCTTGATATGTAGAAAGAGAATCGGGAGGCATGAGAGGGAGCCAGGAATGTCACATGCAAGAGAGAAGGACACAACTTCACTCCGCTTCAGCTCGCCCTCCCGGAACCATTCCCTGCGTTCCCCTCTCTTTTCGTTGAAAACCTCGCCTGGAGCTTCAGTCTTTGGAGAAATTGAGGCGCGCTTGCTCGGGTACGCATTTGAGGGAGGTCCGGAGATGATCTGTCCGGAACTGAGACAAGGGTTGCCAAGCCATACATCATGGCCGAGGGTCAAGCTGGACTGTAACAGGGGGTTGCTGGGTACGGGGGTTGCAAAACTCCGCCCAAAGGACAGGCAGTAGCGGACTGAGTCTTGACAGGGCAATCTACCAGCAAGGACTCACGCTTGTTGCTTGCCTTACGGGTGTGGTGTCTAGGCACGTGTGGGGTGCTTGTTTTAAAAGTGCCATCGAGTCACCATGAGGACTGTGCCACAGCCACCCTATCATCAAGAGCATAATCTCTCGCATATGATGCGTCTGGCATGCACTGGAAGGATCCAATGGCTGTACTGACATTGAAGCACCTCCCCTCCTCCCAGCCCCCTTCATGACCCTATGCTGAATGGCTCCACTCCAGACTCTTTTTCTGTGATGTTACAATTAGCAAGCTGCTGTATTGTGACAGACATGGTCTTGGTTCCCTCCCAGGTCAACCACGAGCTTGGTGGCCATGAAGGAATTTGGGGGAACACGAATTGTGGAGTGGCCGCCATCCAGCCTAAGAGGTGAATGGCTGTGCCAGCACCCAGGTTGTGGAGTCTAGTGCTTCTTGTCGCCAGTGGTGGAGATCACAAGAGGAGGGGTGGGCTTGGGGAAGGCTGCGCAATTTGGTGAGGGTTAGGGCGTGGGTGTGCTGCAGGGTGTTAGAGAGGCCAGCGCTCGCCGGCGCTATGGGCTACCCCTTAAGCCACCTTGCATCACCACCCCACCAGAAGGACATGAGCGTCACTCACTCTTGGCGGGGACCTTGATGGGAGGGATGGTCTTCTTGGCGAACGCAAAGGGGTCCTTGGCGGGTGGGGTGAGCACGATGATGGGGGTCTTCTTGGCGACAGTGGCCGGGGCGGTGCCCTCTGCGAGCAGAGGAAAGGGTCATGTGGCGTGCTGAGCCTTCTGATAGCAATATATTGGCGATAAATCAACACGTTCAGGTCATCGTGGCTGAGTTTGGACGAGAAACCCCGGTCTTCGCGCGGTTACGGCCAGTGAAAAGGTGGACATGTCAGCCGCAAGGCAGAATCAGGAGCCTGGCGGAGATACTCACCGGTCTTTGGGGGCGCGGCAGCGTTCACCATGTCTGTGAGCTCAGATGCGTGCGCTCCTGTGTAGGACAAGCTCAGGTTGGTGTCAGGGATGTGGAAGAGTTCGGGGCCTCTTCCCATGAACCCGTCGAGGGGATGCGGTCATCCTTGCGCACAAGCCTGCATGCGCTCACAGGCCCTCGTCCCCTGCAGCAAAAGGAACTACCGCGCAAGAATGAATGGTTAAGATGCCATCATCGGGGCTGAGGGGGTACCCGGACGCACCATGGAAACTGCTGAGGCAGAAGAGTGCAAGGATGGCCAGACCGGCTGCCGTCCTGAAGTTCGCCATGGCGTTTGCACTTGGGGATGTTTACACACGAAGCGGGTATTAGGCGGTATGGACGATGATGTTTACTGTATGAGAACAATGATTTCTTTTTGCACTTCTTGGCCTAATGACCCAAATTCCTATAGTCGCGTTTCTCGTGGCGACAGATTGGTTACGGGACCTTGGGTACCGGCAGACCGCTGGGACCATGCGAGGCACGTGAACACTCTCCGGAACGCCGGTGAATAACACCCTGCACCAAAACCATGTAATAGTATGCGGATTGTCATTACAAGGTGTTTCGCAGACGGTGGAGGCTGTACGAACCCCTAACCGGAGGCGGCAACCTTGCCCTGAGAAACGAGGATTGCGTCCGCAGCACTTGATATGAGCACAGAGTCCAGCACGTACGCCACGACGTCACAGAGGGTCAGGGTCTCTAATGTAGAGGCGATAGCATACCCTTGCGCACCCCCGAAGGCCACCGGGGAGCCCAGCGGGACGAATACCTGCGAGGATGTGGCTGGCGACACATCACATGGCTGGGCACCACCATTTCCTATCTCATGAGGTGCCCATGCGAGTCCACCGCACAAATGCAGGAGGGAAAAGCAGTCGAATCCCCTCATCGACTACACGAAGAGAATAGTAATCCCACAGCCCGGTCACCACATGTCCCAATTCCCCCTTGCACCGTGATGAGTTGGTCGGTGGCGAGGGTGGGGATCTGGAGGTTGTTGGTCAGCTGTGCGGGGCGTAGGGCATAGTTGGGGGCCACATGGAAGTCCACGATCGCGGACAGAAGTTCCTTGTCTTTGATGAGACTGGACACAGTCAGGTCGACGCCTGTTCGGTGGGAGGGAAGGGAAAAGGATATTGGGAGGGAGATCTGCATACCCCACGCACACAGGGTGTCGGCCCCTGGGTGTTCCTGCCAGGGGCATGCTTCGCCTGGAGGCAGCTCAGGACCAGCCTGGCTCGTGACGCTGTCACATCATGCCATGGGTACCCTTCGTACTTCTCCAAGCCCCCTGCGCACCTGTAAAAATGGATGCGAAGGCCGATGGTGTGGGCACGAAGAGCATGGCGACTTGGGACGGATCCTTGAGGAGGTCGGCAAGGCCCGCCGCCTGTGCTTGCAGAGGGAGAAGCGATGCTTGGTGGGCTGATTGCCGCAAGAGGGAGATCACGAATACCCTTTAGGAGACGCAGTGATGGCAAGGAAGAAGCAGCCCCACCTCCAGAGGATTTGTGCCCTTCTGTCAAACATTCGCCTGCAAGCTCCATACCTCAACGATCTGGAGAAACTCTGTAAAGGTACCGTTGGCAGAGAGGTAATCGTATGCCGTCACGCACTCAGTGCTGGGACCCAGTGCTACTGCTGGCGAGGCAGAGGGTGGGGAGCGGCTGGGCGGTGCGGGGCGGTCAGGCTCAGTCACGGGCGTGATAGGGCTGGGCCCAGGGGTAGGTCCTCGGGAGGAACTCGCCTGCTCCTTCTGCACCCCATTCCCCGCCGTATCAGAGCCGATGGGGTCGGATCCCACCGTGTCGGAGCCCACGGGATCAGAGCCAACGAAGTCTGGGCGTGCGAGGGAGGGGAGGATGAGTGTAGTAAAGACATTTCTCCCCGCCCCTACCCCACCGCCTCCGTGATTCGAGTCGGGGGGTAGAGACCCCAAGCTCATCCCATCGCAGTGCCCATCGCATGCATCAATAATGTTCTCAGAACATTACAGGACCAGGAACCCTCACTGCCTCGACCTGTTCTGGCCAGGGCACGTCCCCCGCCCGTACGAGCCCCGTGGGTGCCCCCGACGGCGCCCAGCAGCAAGACTGCGAGTGTGATGGCGGAGGGGTACATGAGACCTCCCTCCATCGATTGAAAAGACATTAAATTGACTGAGCGAGGACCCTATCGCGCCGCACAGGGTGCAGTGTAACATCCAAGCCCATATACACTCGCCTGCTGCGCAGAGCAGCTTGGCGAGCGAAGACTTCATGGTGTCGGGCCACGGGCTGGGGGCGCGAGACTCCTATGTCACCAGAAAGAGTCTGAGATTTCAAGATTCACAAGGGTTGGTTCTGGGAAAGTCAGCAAAGGAGGCCCCAGGGGCCGGGCTTGCAGGGGTACGTGCATGGTGCACAAGGGGCGCCGGGGGGGGAGCAACGCGCGACTACATTGGCCCCGCACCGCCTGCGGGCCTGCACCTCCCCGGCCTGAGGGGCCCTCTCTCATGCCTTCACTCCACTCAGTCTCTCCACGATCTGAGCACACTCCTGCTTGGACACCAAGACGTTGAGGGAGGCCCTCCCTCTCCAGCAGGACACGGCGATGGGGGCCGCCGCTGTGAGGGCACCTTCCGCACCGGCTCCTGAACTGAGTCCCAGGGCTGGCGGGGGGGGGAGCAGGAGGGGGGAAGGGGCGTGTTCCATGAGCAGAAACAGGGCGGGCTGAGGGCAACAAGGGCAGACGGAATCATGCAGACCAGCCATGTGTGCATGCAAGTGCAGGAGGCCTGTGCCCCTCAGTACCTTTGCACCCTGTTGTGGCGAGCACGGAGTGCCTCCCTCCCCCGACCCACCTTGGGCATCCTCGGCCTTGAGCGTGGCGATGCAGCACCCATACTTGATGTCGATCATTTGCTTCAGTGATTCGGGGCTCTCAAGGGTGGTGAGGCGTCGAGGATTGGGGTTGGGCTTCGGTGGGGAGTGCTGTGCTGCAGCGGGCTCGGCGGCGGCAGGGCTGGGGGCGGGAGCTGCCGCATCAGCGTCGGCAGCAGCGGCTCTGGCTGCAGCGTCGGCGCTGCCAGCGCCCTCGCCTGCTCCTTCCCCGCATGCGACGCCGTCAGACGCAGCATCACCAGGAATGTCGCCCGCTGTGCCCTCTGATGCCTCGACGCCATCGGCAGCGACATCCTCGTTGTCGACGGCGGCGCCCTCAGGAGCAGCCTCGGCCTCCACGGGCGCCGTCCCCGCATCACTGGGGCCTCCAGCCCCGCCCGCGCCATCTGTCGCCGGATCAGCCGCGACGCCAGCATGGCGGGTGATGTGCACCTTGGCGGCGTCCGGCAGCAGCATCTCCCTGTCCTTCAGCAGCGCCACCAGCTCATTCAGGGGCAGCGCGATGGTCTGCCGCGTCAGGTACGGCATCAGGCTGGGCAGGCCCTCCTGCGCCACGCGGTAGATGCAGCTCACCAGGCCGTCCTGCGACACGCACGAGGCACACGGGGTGGGGGGGTGGGCGTCGAGAGGGGGATCTGGCGGGCCACAGACATCGCGCCGGCGCAGTGTCGCAGGGTCCCGCTCCCGCGCGGCGCTTGCCACCGGAGCGATGAACGAGCGCCCTTGTGTGTGGTGGCCGCGGGGCAGGCTGCGTGGTACAGCACGCCCACCCCAGGGCCCCTCAGGGACTCGCACAGCCTGAGCATGGCGTGCGCCTGGTGCCGGCGCCCTGCACCCACCGCGAAGGGACGCAGGGCACGCACTCCGGCCCGCCGTCCCGACCCCACCCACAAGCCAAGCCTGGCACCCCCCCCTTCCTTCCTCCCCCCGCTCCACCCCCCTCCCCCTCACACACACACACCTTGCTGTCCTGGCGGTCAAAGACCTTGACCCCGGCGGCGGTGATCTTCATCGCCTCTTTCACGTCCATGAGCAGCAGCTCCTTGACCCCGGCCGACACGTAGCTCAGGCGCTTGGGTCGGGGGTCCTCCGAACGCGCCACCAGGGAGCAGGGCACGGGGCAGGCGGGGTGCATGCCATAGAAGTCGCGCATGAGCTCCAGCTGCGCCGGGTCGGTGAAGGGCACGATGGGGTCGATGCCGTGCCAGCGCCCGCCGGGGCGGTTGCGCCCGCCCCCGCCGCGCGGCGCACCCCAGACCAGCGAGGGCGCCGGGTCCACCTCGCCTGCGGCCGCCGCACCCGGCGCCGCCGCCGCCCCGCTCGGCGCTTCTTGGATGCCCTCCCGCTCCGGTGCTGGGGTGTCCTCGGTCGCCCCCGGCTCGCGGGTGGCGGATCCCCCCCCGGGCGTCCCGGCCGCTGCTGCAGCGCCGGCCTCCTCCCCAGCTCCGTCAGCCTCATGCAGCGCAGCGGGCGGGGCCGCGCCCTCGGCCTCGGCGGCCTTGACGCCGGCAGCAGGCTGCTCGCCCTGCTCGATCCCAGCTTCCTCGACGGCGTCAGCCACCACCGCCCCCCCGCCTCGCCCGCGCCGGCGCCCTCGCCCTTCCCGGCCTCCTGAGCCAGCGCCGCGCCCGCCCTGTCGCGCGGTGGCGCGCTGGGGTACTCCAGCCTGCCCTCCAGCGGCGCGACCTTCTCCAGCACCGCCACGAAGAAGCCGCCCGTGTCCTGGTGGTGAGGCAGGAAGCGCATGCAGCGCTCCAGGTGCAGGCCCCCCTCCCCCACGCCCGGGAACATGGAGGGCAGCAGCTTGCGCCCGCGCTCGCCATCCCCCGCCCAGGCATCGTGCCAGCGCTGGCCGTCGTGCACGCGCCAGGCGGCCAGCCCTGGGAGGCGCCGCAGCGCGGGCACCTCGCCGGAGACGTCCAGGAGGCGCAGCGCGCCGCGCGTGCGGCGCAGCAGCTCCGCCACCACCGCCTCGTCCTCCACCGGGTTGAAGGTGCAGGTGGAGTACACCAGGCGCCCGCCCACGGCCAGCAGCTCCGCGCCTCGCAGCGCGATGCGCAGCTGCAGCAGGTGCAGACCGTTGCCGTTGCCCGGGGTCCAGCGCTTCCAGATGTCGGGCGCCTTGCGGATGGTGCCGTCCCCGGAGCACGGCACGTCCGCCAGGATGCGGTCGAAGAGCACGCGCGGGGCCTGGGGTGGCGGGGGCAGGGGGTTCCGTGCATCCACCGCCTCCTCAGGAGCACCAGGCCCCTTGACGTCCCCAGCCGCCTCCCCGCCGGGGGCCCCCACCAGATCACGCGCCCATTGGACCGCGCGGTGGTCTGTCAGCGCGGGAAAGTGCTGCGCCTCGTGGTTGGTGACCAGCAGGGCCGGGGAGCACATGCGCTTGACCTGGTGGGTGAGCAGGTTGCAGCGCTTGGCGTCGGCGTCGTTGGCCACCACGACGCCCGCGGGCTCCTCCCCCGCGCCGCCGGAGTGCAGCGCCTCCAGCAGCTGGAAGGTCTTTGACCCCGGCGCCGCGCACATGTCCAGCACGCGGTGCCCCGGCGCCACGCCCAGGAAGAGGGGCGGGACCATGGACACCGCCTCCTGGCGCGAGATGGCGCCCACCGCCGTCTCGCGCTTCATGAACTCGTGCAGGGCCTCCAGGGCGGGCAGCTTGCGAAGCTCGCCGCGGGAGCAGGAGAAGCTCCAGGCCAGGCCGTCCGGGTACCAGGCCAGCGCCGCCGGCGGCTGCAGGCCCGCGCTCTCGGGGCCGGCAGCCGCCGCGCCGGAGAAGGGGGCCAGGAAGTCGGCCTGCAGCCGGTCGCGCAGGCTGTGCGCAAACTTGCCAGAGCCGTTGATGCGGAAGGTGATGGGCAGCGGGCGGCGCAGGGCGTCCAGGAACGCGTCCCACTCCTGCAAGTGGGGGATGGCACGAGAGTCGTGCGCAGGATGGGGCAGACGTGATCCCAGTGGGAAGCGTGGGCTGAGACAATGCCACAAAGTGAATGTGTGGCCGTGTGGTGACAGCGCCCCGTGCATTTGAAGGGGACCAGGTCGGGCAGGAGCTGTGCCCAGGCATGCAGGCCTGGTGGCCACGGGCAGCACGCAGGGTTCCCTTCCTTGCGAACAAGCCCGCCTGTGACAAGCCAGTTCCCTAACCCTGGAACCAAAGCTACCTCGGGCGGGCAGATGTTCTGGCCCTTGTAGTACTCGTTGAAGGCATCGTTGTGGGTGGGCTGCTCCTGCCACCCGTCGTCCCTCCGCTGGCGCTTCTCCTGCCACTCGTCGGTCTTCCCATCCTTGAAGTCGCGCCGCAGCACGCGCTTCTAAATGGAAAATAAGGCGGGTGGGCGTCAGTCGAGAGGTGTCGCACATCGGGGGCCTGAAATCAACGCACCCCGCCGGCGGAACAGCCTAGTCAGGGACACCCAACACCCAAGGCGCACCTTGCCGCGACCTCTTCCGTACCCCCGCCCCATGATGAAGGGATGGAGTATTGCTTTGAATACTTTCCAGCAGACCTGGGGCTGGCTGTGGTGTTCATGCGCCCTGCACCTGAGGAGAGTCATTGCGGGAGTCAGCAGGCACAGCAGGCGCCCCCGTTCCCCTCCCCCAAATCCACCTACTTATCCCGACGCGAGCAACCAGTCGAGCAGCACCGCAGCCCCTAAGGACACCGGCTAACGGTCATGATGCTCACGCTCCAGCATGTGCGGCCGTTCCAGGCGGTGGGAACGCCCAGGGCGGGCAGGACAGCGGGGCGAGTGGCCACCGTGGTGAGGGCTGCGAAGTCGGGCAACAGCAACCAGCAGAGGCCGGTTTCCAGGTATGTGACGGAGTCTGCTGGATGTATGAATCGTAATTTCACCTTTCAGTTTCGCCAAGTGCAGGGTCTGAGCAAAGCCAAGTTGTCGCTGAAGTGATCCCCCACTGACCTCGCTTAGTCTCGCCCCCACAGCGCCCCTCGATCACTGGGAAAGCTTGCGATCACCTTGCTACCGGCGCTGTCCCCCCTCCTCATCTCCCTGCCGGCTCACGCGGAGCCAGGGAAGATCTTCGACTTCAATGCCACCATGCCGGTCATGGCAGCCCAGTTCCTCCTCCTCATGGTGGCACTCGACAAGTTCTGGTTTGGGCCTGTGGGACGCCACCTGGATGCACGCGACAAGGAGCTCCGGGACAAGCTGGCCAGCGTCAAGGACAACAGTGCGGAGGTCTCAAAGCTCCAGGTGGGTGCATGGCTGACGCTGGGGAGGGGGGGGTGTGCCCACCCGCTTGCACTTCTGGCCAGGCATTAGTGAGTGACATGGCAGCGCTGGTTCACACCCGGGCAGCTAACATGAAAGGCTTGACTGTCGGGCTGTTTGATGTACCTTTTGAGGAACAGCACTGGCACCGAGCTGTGATTGGGCCTCGCAGGTGGCGTCTGTTGTGGTGTGATGGGGGAGGTGTTGAGGGTCCCCTGTCCCATTCTCCTGCCCCACAGGATGCCGCTGAGAAAGAGCTGGCAGCCGCCCGTGCGGCAGCACAAAAGGAGATCGCAGCGGCCAAGGCAGAGCTGAACAAGGAGCGTGATGCTCGCCTGGGAGCGGAGAAGAAGAAGATCGACGCCGCGCTGGAGAAGGATCTGGCTGCCCTGGCTGCCGAGAAGGAGAAGACCTTTAGCAACCTGGACTCCCAGGTGCGTTGGAGGGGTGCATTGCAGGAGGGGGAGGGGCATGCGTTGGAGGGTGGCCGGGGTCCTCCCAGGGCAAGGGCGTGGCAGCTGAGTCGGCCCTGACTGGTGGCTGAAACAAGAGTAAAAGACAAGGGTCCCCCTCATCCTGCTTTTTCCAGGTGGACAAGCTCGCTGAGGACATCATTGGCAGGCTGCTCCCCAAGGGCATCAAGGCCTGAATGTCGATTGCACACACTGCTCATGAGAAGATGTAATGGAGCTCAGTGCCACATGTAATCCAGAGTATAAAAGCTCCTGGGGGTTGTGTCCCGATCCCACAATCACGTCGCAAGCGGCCCGGATCTCGACGGGAGAAAGTCAAGGAGCTATGATTCGTGATCGACCTGTCACAGGTCCCAAAGCACCATACCTCTCCTCCTGGCATAAAAGTACAGTGACATTGTTTGTTAGCGGTGCTCCACCGAGTGTCCCCGCAGGATTGACACATCGATCAAGGGTGCCAACCTCGTACGTCTCGCAATGAGAAAATAGGGTCTTCACGGAAACGACCTCGGCCGAGGGCAGGTGATCCGGCTCGCCGGTCATCCGCGCCCACCTTGCCAAATGACGTGCTCCAGAAGGTTATGTCCCATTTGGATCACCAGGGTCTAGCCACCGTCTCGAGGGTGTGCAAGTCCTGGCATGAGGCTGCCACGGCCGATGCACTGTGGCAGGCCCTCTGCGACCGCCAAAGCTGGGCGGTGGACGCCTCCCATGGGGAAGCTGAGGCTGGGGCCTCCCCAGCGCGACACACGTTTCGTTCCAAGTACTCTTCCAGCTGCTATGACTGCTTGCAACCATGTGATCACTGTACCCTGGGATTTGCAACATTAGTGCTCAGGTGAGGCTCCAGGCATTGGGCTTGATTTTACAGCCCACCATTGGCTTTGGAAGGGGCACGTGAAGCTCAGCCCTGCACCACCATCCATTACCCCTCCTGCACAGACTGTGCTCGGCCTGTGCCGGAGCCTACGCGGACCCCAACCCCTCCCAGCGCCTCGTCACCAAGACACATGCGCAGTACCTGTACCGCATGAGGCCAGCGGACCTGGCAGCGCTGCCACACGCCGTGGCCTCCAATCCCATCAACCCAGCCTTCCTGCCCATGCACCTCTTCCGAAAGGCAGATGTCGAGGAGGCTGCATGGGAGAAGAAGAGGACGAGCACAAAATCAGTGCGGAGGTGTGGCTGAGCGTGCCGGCGTGGACAGCCCCTTCATGCTGTGTAGCTGGGACCGGCGATGATAATCTGGAGGAGACAACCACGACGCCTCCTCCTGAAACCCACCAACCATAACCATCCAGCATCACGTTGTTATTAACAAAACTGGGTGTCATCCACAAGTGCAATTTGCAAGGCGATCGTCATCTTCTCAATCATGGGAGGAGCAGGGTTCAGATCTGTGCACCGACGTGGGAGCACCTGCAGGAAGCGCATCGCCATGAGCTCCCCAGGCAGGTGCTCGAGAAGGGATTCCAAAGATGGAGGCGCACAGGATGTTGCACACAGGGTCGAGGGCATGAAATGTGATGGCACATGGCTTTGTGGACTCCAGGCTTGGCCAGGCAAATCAGCCCCTCAGAAAAGGCGCTGCAGCACGTACTCCACCAGCCCCTCCAGGGACCGCTTGGAGGCCGAGGGCGGCAAGCAGCTCAGGGCTGCGAGCGCGGCTTGACCCTGTTCCCTTGCCGGGGGGCAGGCGCCCAGGGTCAGCCTCGTGACATTGCAGCGTGCCCAGGAAGATCCAAGAGGGTGTGTCCCCCTACACCCCCACTTGTCATTCATCGTGTCAACCCAGTCACCGGGACAAACACAATAGAATCGGCAGCAAGAGTGAGCCCTAGGAACAGTCAGCCTGGTTACACCATGTCATCCACCCTGCAGACACAAGGAGCCGCTGCCACACGCCGTGGCCTCCAATCCCATCAACCCAGCCTTCCTGCCCATGCACCTCTTCCGAAAGGCAGATGTCGAGGAGGCTGCATGGGAGAAGAAGAGGACGAGCACAAAATCAGTGCGGAGGTGTGGCTGAGCGTGCCGGCGTGGACAGCCCCTTCATGCTGTGTAGCTGGGACCGGCGATGATAATCTGGAGGAGACAACCACGACGCCTCCTCCTGAAACCCACCAACCATAACCATCCAGCATCACGTTGTTATTAACAAAACTGGGTGTCATCCACAAGTGCAATTTGCAAGGCGATCGTCATCTTCTCAATCATGGGAGGAGCAGGGTTCAGATCTGTGCACCGACGTGGGAGCACCTGCAGGAAGCGCATCGCCATGAGCTCCCCAGGCAGGTGCTCGAGAAGGGATTCCAAAGATGGAGGCGCACAGGATGTTGCACACAGGGTCGAGGGCATGAAATGTGATGGCACATGGCTTTGTGGACTCCAGGCTTGGCCAGGCAAATCAGCCCCTCAGAAAAGGCGCTGCAGCACGTACTCCACCAGCCCCTCCAGGGACCGCTTGGAGGCCGAGGGCGGCAAGCAGCTCAGGGCTGCGAGCGCGGCTTGACCCTGTTCCCTTGCCAGCTCCAGCGATCTGCAGGGGGGGGGGCAGGCGCCCAGGGTCAGCCTCGTGACATTGCAGCGTGCCCAGGAAGATCCAAGAGGGTGTGTCCCCCTACACCCCCACTTGTCATTCATCGTGTCAACCCAGTCACCGGGACAAACACAATAGAATCGGCAGCAAGAGTGAGCCCTAGGAACAGTCAGCCTGGTTACACCATGTCATCCACCCTGCAGACACAAGGAGCTCACCGGAGCCTTGCCGCACCCTCCCACCTTGCAATGCCGCCCCCTGCGGTGACCAGCGCCAGCGCTCGCGCTGTGGACCCCTCCTCCACGAATCGTGAGGTGATGAGGCGGCTCAGCTCCTTGCTGGTGCTCGGATCCTGGCAGGGTGGCACCAGGAGCAAGGTCAGCAGCGGCCTGCATGACGAAGCGCCACACCATCACGCTTGGCATGCACCGAGCACGTCCCCTGACGGGGCAGACATGCGCCCAACTCATCACCAACCAATCAGAATGGCCACCCACCTGCAAGGCGTAGTAGGCTGGGGCCGTGAGGTTCCCAGAGGCCAGGTCCTGCCCCTGCGGCTTGCCCAGGGTCTCGGCGTTCTGCGTGTAGTCCAGGATGTCGTCGACGATCTGGAAAGCAAGGCCCAGGTGCTTGCCGTAGGCATACATCGCGTCCTTGACTGCAGGCAGGGATGGGAGCGGCAGGGACTGGGTGGCCATGCCCAGCGCGAGGGAGATGTCATTGAGTTGGAGGTGTCTCTTGAGCATGCCATGGAGGGCGCAGCACCCTGGACGGCAATGCTTCCAAGCACCCTGCTCAGCCAGCCGCGAAAACACCCACCGGGTTCGCTGCAGTCTGAGAAGACGGCCGCGCATCGGCAGCTGGCAGCAATGAGGCTGGCAGTCTTGTAGAACGACTTGTCCAGGTACCGATCCAGGGTGATGTCTGTCTGGAAGAGGAGGCTGGCCTGGCTGATCTCTCCGTCGGCAAAGTCGGCGATGACCTGGCTGATCAGCTTGATCACCTACGCAGTGGGGTTGTCGAGGCAGGTTATGGATGAAGTTGCGGCACGAGTCCAGCTTCTCTGGGGTCCCTGACCACTCTGCAGAGGAGCCTCACACCATTGAGGTCCACGACGCAGCGCACCTCCAGGTTCTCCAGCTGGGCGAGGAACCAGGACGACTGGGCAAATAGGAAGTCGCCAGCCAGCACTGCGACCCGGGACCCGAACAGGCTGTTCACAGTAGCTTTACCTGGTATGAGGGAGGGGGACAGGAGATGCCGTGGGCTTGCTGCATGGACCAGCACTGCAACCGCACGCCCTGCACAAATCCTTCACTGGCATGGACAGAGGCAGCGCGGCAACGACACATGAACAGCAGTTCGAGGCGGCCCCAATGCCACCCTCTCCAAACACCTCCCGCACCTCTGCGCAAGCTGGACTCGTCCAGCACGTCGTCGTGGACCAGGCTGGCCGTGTGGATCATCTCCGTGATCTCCGCCAGCCTCCTGTGCTTCTCGTCAAGGTCACTGCAGGTGTTGCGAGGGGGTGCGGGAGGCTGGAGCAGTGTGCCAAGGGGAGGCACCTCCACACTGCACGACTCCCGCCCAGCTGCTCCTGAGCTCCTCATGCCCAGTCGGAACCGCCGCTGCACCCTGCCAGGCACAAGGGGCAAGCCTCTCCCCTCCCCTCCACCAAACTCCCGCACACTCACGGCATGCCGGTGATAGGAAGCGTGGCCCTGGCGACCAGCAGCACGATGAGAGGCCTCAGTCGCTTTCCCCCCGCAGAAAAGATTTGGTTGGCGGCAGCCAGGAGCATGGGGTGCCGCTGGCCGACGACATCCAGCAGGTTCTGGCGGCAGGTCTCCATGTCTGAGGCCACAGGGGCCCGCAGCACCTCGTGACTCACGGTCGCTGGCATGGGGGCCATGGCGGGGAAGGACGAGGCTGCGGTGGAGCTGGTGTGAGTGGCATGGCCCGGGGCGGCCTGGGCAGCCGCGTCGACGCAGGCCGAGCGGGGGCGGGGCTGGGTCCCGGCCTGGGGTGGCAGGGTCCGGCGGGCCGGCCGCAGGCCGTGGCATGCTCCTCGCGCGCTCACGAATGGGACGAATACCGCATGTGCCTGGGGTTGGAGGAGATTAGAGGCCATGCGCTGGCTAGTTGTGGGCCTCTGGGACCTGAGGCTGGCAGAGCCAGTGGCACGCCCTGGCGGGGCTGGAGAGCTTGCTGGGCTTCAAGCTCGGGTTTTCGATGCCTGATCGAGACCTCAGTTGTTCATTCTGTGATGCCAGTGCCTGCGACGTACACCGTCATGTCTGTACCTGGCTTCCCTTGGTCGACGATCATCCACCACCAATTGAAAGCCTAATAAATCCTCGGCGCGCTAACGCTACCGCGTGCGACATATCTGCCGGGAAACGGATATCGTGCGATCCATACACACACATCCCAGCACTCTAATTACAGGACTGTACTGCCGTTATTCAATCGGATATCGTCCCCTTCAACATCCGCACAGCCAGTCCTTCCCTTCCTGCGGCATGGCAGCCCTGTCCCTTGCCACCGCGCGGGTGCCTGCATATGGCCGGCATGGCTCGCTCGCCCAAGGCTCTCAGAAGTGTGCACGTACCATCCCCAGCGTATTCCAAGCGGGCCGCCGCGCGCACCGTGCGGGAGGGGACAGGCGCTCCTCCCAGAGGATATCTGCCCAGGGTGAGCTCGTGCATGGGCATGCATCCCCGCCCAAGGCTAAGCTGTCACCGGAGAGCCAGCATTTACTCTGACCCCTCCCACCCGCCGCCCTGCAGCTCCGACGGATGTAGGCCTCCCGCCCGAGTTCAAGACCGCCATCGACGCCTTTGTCACGGAGAACCCGGTGGTGGCCTTCATCAAGGGCACCAAGGAGATGCCGCAGTGCGGCTTCTCCAACACCGTTGTGCAGATCCTCAACACGACGGGGGTTCCCTACACCACAGTCAACATCCTGGAGAATGACATGCTGAGATCCGGTAGGGGATGAGGGTGGTGCATGGAAAGAGCGCCTTCATGGCAACTGGTTGCATACCCAGCGGCCTGCAGCTGCCCTGTGCCCACAGCCACATCGCATCACCCATGAGCTCTCACACCGCCGATAGGTATGAAGGCCTACTCCTCCTGGCCCACCTTTCCGCAAATCTACATCGGCGGGGAGTTTTTTGGCGGCTGCGACATCATGATCGAGGCGTACACCAAGGGGGAGTTGAACGAGGCACTGGAGGCAGCCCTGAACGCATGAGAGGCCAGAGTGCCTGGCACACATCATGCATGAGCGCCTGACTGGAGGCTCTCATCCTGTGCCTTTTTCAGCTGCTCTCGCTGCAGGTTTTGTTGATCCCACTGCACTCACTTGCAGCCATGCTTTCCCCTGCACATGCAGTGACCAGATCAGCATGCAGCACCTCTCTCCTTCTCCATCCCCACCTCTGCCCACCCTCTCCCCTCCAATTCCCCCCTTGGGCTCGCGTCTGTGCAATCTGCTATACAAGGCAGTGTAGATGGGGTGCCTTGCAGGTGCTGCCTTGACACTCCTCCGCTGAATGCTAGTAATCCCTGAACAATAATCAAGACAGGCTACCCTTCTGGAAGTTTGGACAGGGTGGCCACTCGGTTGAGGTCAATGGGGGGTACACAGACTGGTCGGGAGAGGGGCTGCCTCTCTATCAGCCGGTTGCTGGACCACGCCGGCAAGCTGGCTGGGGTCCCTTGCCGCTCATGGCTCCCGGGTGCCGCAGCTGCACGCTCCGCAGCTCCCTCCGTAATGTGGAGGTGTGACCACAGGGCCGGCTCGCTCCTCACGACACCCAGCACCCAGGCCAGCTTCCCGGCGAGCCCCGGGGGCAGGGCGCGCATGACCCCTGCCAGCACAGCGTTGCAGGTCTGGGCCCTCTCCATCTGCTGGCAGGTGCGCTGGATCTGGGCTGGCAGGGCGTGCCGGGGCTGACCGCTCATGATCCTGGGATGAGGTGAGGTAAGATTGAGGGGGGGGACTGGGATGGAGCGCAGCATTCAGCGCCGGAGACATGGCTGGGAAAGTCGTCGCCAAAGACCATTCCTCATTATTATGCTGGCGTGCCGGCTGGTGCATCTCAAGAGTTCAACTACCACAAGAGAAGAAGAGCCTGCAACTCACTTCTGGGATGGCACGGGTTTGGAAGAGTGACTCCCTCCCTGCAGTTTGGCTTGCAGGTGGGTGGCGTCCACGTGCAGGACCACCGAGACCGGGTGCACCGCCAGGGCGCCAGCCTTCTGACAGGCCGAAAGCCCCAAGGAGGATGGATGGGTTGGGTAAAGCTGTACCCAGGATCCACTCTCCGATACGAGCATTATATGTATCCTAATCACCATCCAAACACCCCCCGAATCCCCTACTTTGGTGCGCTGTCCTGCCATCGGCTCGGGCCCATTCACTCAGCTCCATGACGAGCTCGCAACATATTCTGGCCGCTCCACAGTCGCATTGGAGCAGCTAGTTCGTTCCCAAGCCACAATCCTATCTAGATGCTAATTAAAGTCCAATATTAGCCTTCAAAGGCTGTTTGACGACGACTTCACACCAGCCCGTCTTCGAGTCTCGACCGGCACATGGGTCACGTGGACTGTCTTCGGGTATCTGGCCGCATGGCCATACATAAACGACAGGCATGCAGTTGAATGTGGAATGTTAATTCGTCAAACAATATCTGTAATGCTGCGGCATGCGGTCCTTGGGTGGACGAGGCACCAGCAGACCAGACAGTTCACGTCTGGGGTTGCAAAGGCACTGGCTGGCACCTCGGCCCGGCGCCTCCTCCTTGCAGTTCCGGCCGGTGTGGGACTAGGAGGCCTTGCTCTATCTGAAGATCCTGGCTACTTGCTGTACAATGCCTCAGCGATACCCCTCAGGCTGGGCAGGGACGTTGTGGCAGCAGGCCTGACCTATGCAGGTGCGAAAGACAAACATGCAGTTCTGCACTGAACGCTGTCTGGGGTGACGGCCGAGTCTCTTTGCCGAGGGAGTGCCTTCGTGTCATGCAGTCTATCCTTGACTGTGCATGCATCTGAAGGGCATAGTTGGTTCCGGGTTTCCCCCTTGTAAACAGCATGCTGCGCACTCTGGCACTGCCAAGCATCTCAATTGCCTCGCTGTACTCTTATTGTGCCTTGACGCCATGCACAGACTATGCCTGGTCGTTATATGGCATGGAGGGGAGCCAGCGTGAAGCCGTGCTCCACAGCTGTCATCAGCGAGGCGCCAACAGGCTCTTGGATCTGTGCTTCAGCAATGGCGGCATCTACAGTGAGTGCCGGTGTGTGTGTGTGTTGGGGGGGAGGGTACAAGATGCACAGGAGGCATTGTAGGCATGCAACGTTGAGGCAGGCCTGCTCAAACTTGTGAAAAACATGGCTTGTGTATTTGCGCCGAGCCTGGACCAGGGATCTCACAAAACATGCACATATGCAAGCTGGTGCTCATCCTGCATCAAGCTGCTGCGCCTCAGTCTCCCGATTCCCTCCTTTACACAACCCGCAGTCAAGCTTGGCCAGCATGTGGCGATGCTGGACCACCTGGTCCCAGCAGAGTACGTGCAGACCATGCGCAAGCACATGCTCAACCGCTGCCCCATCAGCTCCTGGGAGGAGGTGGCCGGCATTGTGCGCGAGGACTTGGGCGCGCCGCCCGAGAAGCTGTTTGCCAGCTTCTCGCCGGCTCCCCTGGCGTCCGCCAGCCTGGCACAGGTCCACGAAGCCACCGGCTTTGACGGCCGCCGGCTCGCAGTGAAGGTAGGGTGGTGTAGCAGTGACCGAGTTTGGTCCGCGCGGACACCAGGGGTCGGAGGAATACGCCGGCATGCTCGGTAGCAATGCTTTGCGTGAGGCAGGATTGAAGGCTACCGGGGCTCTCCCAAAGACGCAGGTCCTTGAGGTTCAGCATCAGGTATACTGACGGCCATCATATCCATACAAACCAGACATACTCAGGATCCACCTCCTTGACTGTCCCTGCCTCAACAGGTGCAGCACCGGGGCTTGAGAGAGTCCAGCTCTGCAGACCTCGCCACGCTGGCAGGTCTCATTACCATCGTCAAGTGGCTCGCCCCGGAATTTGACTACGGCTGGCTGATTGAGGAGGCGCGCAAGAACGTCCCCAAGGGTGCGTGCGGGTGGCAGGCGAGTGTGCACGGCGCCTGCGCCCTGGCAGAGAGCGGGGCACAGCGCATGGGGGAAGGAATCTTCAACAGAGCCTTTAATGGCTGTTGGCCTCACTCCCCACCCCACCCCACCCATCCCCACCCCCCACCCTCCAACGCCTCACACCACCCACTCATCTTTCCATCCCCTCCCAAACCCCTCAGAGCTGGACTTCCAGCAGGAGGCACGCAACGCGGAGCGCTGCCGCTCCAACTTGGCGGCAGGCACCAGCTCTGTACGGGAACAGGTGGTCGTCCCCGCGATTGTGCACCCCCTCTCCTCCGCCAGGGTCCTCACCATGGAGTTCATGGACGGTGCGCCTCCAAGGGGTGGTGTCTTGTACTGTGCATGGCAGGGCTGTCAAGGTTTCGGCCCTGTGCGGCGAGACAAGGTTCCTATTCCTCCTTTCTGATCACTCATGCAGGCGTCATGGTGACCGACCTGGAGGGCCTGGCCCGGCTCCGGGTGCCCCCCGCCGCCGTGGCGGAGCGGGTGTCTCGCACCTTCAACGAGATGATCTTCCGACACGGCGATGTGCACTGCGACCCCCACGCCGCCAACATGCTAGTCCGCGCCGCCCCTGGGGCGCCTGGTGGCTGGCAGCTCGTGCTGCTGGACCACGGCCTGTACCGCCAGCTGGACGACGCACTGCGCCTGGAGTACGCGGGCCTCTGGCAGGCCCTCATCTTTGCCGGTGGGGAGTCTTGAAGAGAGTGGGGGGTTTGACGGGGGAATGGTATGGGGCCGAGGGATTCTCCAGGTTGCTCTTGAGAAGAGAGGGTCGGAACGCTGTGCCGGGAGCGTGGTCCACTACGAATTCTTATCACAGAGTCAGACCCATTCACAACCCGCCACCTGCATCGACACTTCACCACCAACACAGCAGAGTGCATGCTGCCAGCCTCCCGCCTGCAAACCGTGCCCTCCCTCCCATGCACCACGACTGCGCAGACGAGGCGGCCATAAGAAGGCACGCCAGCGCGATGGGCGCGGGCGCCAGTGTGCCGCTGTTCGCAGGCATGCTGACTCAGCGCCCCTGGGACCAGGTGCGCCGCGCTCACGGCGCCCCGGAGCGGCTGCGGGTGGAGGGCAGCGAGGCGGAGCGGGAGCTCATCCGGGGCTTTGCGGTGCAGTACGCGTCGGAGATCGCGCACCTGCTGCGTTGCATGCCGCGGCCCCTGCTCCTCCTGCTGAAGACTAACGACTGCCTAAGGTGCGTGCAGAGGGTTGGATGGTGTTCCTGGAAGGGAGTGAGGGTCAGGGGCCCATCTGATGGCTGCCTGGGTGGACGATGCGACTGGGAAACCTTGTGCGGATCGAGTCCTTTGCCCAAGTCGTGCCTAAGTTAGGGCTGCTCCCCGTGAAGGTGCCCCTGCGCCCGAACGCTGCTTGCACAGTCTGCCGGCGTCCACCTCCCCCAAGACCCAGCCCCATCCTTCTTCCTCCCTTCTACAAGTACACGTCTGTCATCCATCCAACCCTTCTTACCCCTCACTGCTCCCACCTACAGGGCCGTGGACCGCGCGCTGGGCACCCCGGTCAACACCTTTGTGAGCACGGCGCGGGAGTGCAGCGCCGCGCTCTCCCAGGAGCGCCTCAGGCGGCGCCCGGGCCTCGCCTCCCGCCTGCTGGGGCTGAGGGACCGGGCCATGGTCGAGTCACGCCTGGCCCTGGTCAGGGTCATCGTCTGGGTCAAGGGCCTGCGTGGCATGTCCGAGGGCTCGGCGGCTGGGGACCAGCCAGCGGTGGAGCTGCCCGCGCTGACGTGAGGGACGGCCTTGGTGCAGACCAGCGGTCGTTCAGATGGGGGACCTGCGCCTGCGCTCGAGGGCGAAGGATGAGCCCACGAGCCCGACGCCATCCCCACCTCTTCATGAACGCTTGGAATGACCCCCCCCCACCCCCCACTGTCCCTGCCCAAAAGCGTTGTAAAATTGCAGGGCGAGCTCATGCCGGCACACATGGTGCAGTCAGGGTCATGCAGGGCGTGCCAGTAGGCGCTCAGGCGGCGGGTTCCGCGGCGAGGCAGTACGGCGACACCCTGCAGAGCAGGCCCTCCAGGGCCGTCAGCCCTGCGACGGCCAGCAGGCCCAGCACGGCGCCCCCCCGCGCCCTCCCGCGGTGACTCAGCATGCCCGTGCCCAGCAGGCCCAGCGCG